TCCTCAAGGATGTCGGATTTTGAAACACTCTGGTTGTTTAACTACTCTGCTTTAGCAGTCTGTCTCCTCGTTTTTCTTTGTCCTTGTCTAAATATTTGGAATATTTTACAGATTATTGTATACTAACTATAGATTTCCATATGGCACTTTATTGTTTGAATAAATGCATTGAAGCCCTCAGGGACCCCTAAGTGGGCACCAGAACAGCAATTCCTATTATGACTTTGCCTTAATAGATTGATTTCGGGGTGCGTTCATATACATACCCAGAAACAGAAGGGGGGTATGTTTTGAAATGCTTTTTCATTGCTTCTGAAATAATCTCTTTAGCTAATGAAAACTGGCTTTATCTAGGGTCTGTTCAGTTTAGTGACAGTCTTTAATAAAGTCAGTGCAAATTTTAAATCATCCAACAAGACATTTTTTGGGTTCAAGTCTAGGGTTTTCTTTCCTGAAGAGCTACCTTTAATGGAAACAGGCCATGGGTGGCCAATGGCACACTCTCTGGTTGCTGGGTCTAGGGTGGGGGTGGGGGTTATTATGCGTTCTCGGATATAGTGGACTTTTTATGGTGGAGAATGTGTTCTTAAGTCTTGGATATTGATTTCCATGGGGAAACCACTCATGATTTCTCTGCCATGTTTCCAGGTTAGGATTTAAGCTGAGCTTTGTTTCTGAATTCTGTTTTTCAGGTGAATTTGTGGATCTTTTCTTGCTTTACTTCTCTTTCCCATCACAGAAGTAAAATTCCATGTTAGGTAGCAGTGAAGGTTCTTGGATCTGTGTGAGCATGTCCAACACATTTTCAGAAGAGCAAAATATTTAGAAGAAGAATTTGGAAAATCAGCCTTAAGGGACTTAACACATTTTTGTTCTAATTCAGTCCCGTGCTTGTCCCCTTAATGGAGAAAGGTCATTCATGGTTAAGATTTGCTAAGCCAGGAAGGGCTTTCAGAAACAAACTGACTTTCTAAAATCCAAATCTAAAAAAAGAAAAACCCAGTGGAAACTTGAGAGAATAGATTAAGAGTGTGAATTATACTCACTTTTAGTACATGAGTAAATGATTTAGTTGGGTGTAAGCTTGGTTCTCTGCTTGCTTATTTTGATTTTGGAGACATTAAATTAACCTTCACAATGGAGAGTTAAAAGAATTTGAGACTTTGAAGTTGTTTTCTGCATTTCTAGGAGGGCAGAGTGATTCATCGGTACAGCACAGGGCTTAGCTTCCACTTTGCTCGCACAATTTCACCCCCCAGAAAAAGACACTTAGGTCAAAATTGTTTACTCTGATTGCTGTTTATGGAAGGCAGCTTTATATTGGTAAGTGTGCCAAATTTGTTATATTTTTAATCTCATAATTGAGAGCCACAGGCTAATTCCTGTTCTTTTATTGAATTCCTATCTGGCAGAAAATAAGAGGGCAGTGTGTGTGTGTGCTAGTGTGCGTGAGTGAGAGAGCATAAAAGGAAATGTGAATTACAGACATTGCAATCTGAACTCTTTTCGACTCTTTAATAAGAAAATGAATATAGAGCAGTGTTTATTCATTTTGGAGTATATTTGTAATTTTTGGGTCGTAGAGAATTTATCTTTCAGTAGTCACTACTTTATTTCATATCAGTTACTTAAACTCATGTTCAGACTTTGATTTGGCCCAAAGACCAAAGACTCATAGACACATTATTCATTTTTATAAACATCTCTGTATGGGGAGGATCTCCTTTTAAAATTTATATCATTGTATAGGTGACAAAATTGAAAGATCTTATTGTTTGATAAGTTGATGGACACTTATTTATTTGCTCTCTATATTTGAAGAGGAACCTAGGTAGGCCTATATCTATATCTATATCTATATCTATATCTATATCTATATCTATATCTATATCTATATCTATATCTATATCTATATCTATATCTATA